TTTTTTTTTGGGGGGGAGGGGGGGGTAGTGACTAGAACTTTAGTTATGTTTTGTAAATTATTTGGTATGAGATTATTAATAATTAAAAAAGATAGTTGAGTGCATCGGCAGTAATCTTTGAGAAAGAAAAAGTTCAAACAGGTCTTTGAGTAAAAATGTCAAATAATAAAATAGCAAACAAGAATGACAACCGTCATTAAATAATTACTAAACATATACTCAGAATTATGGAAAAATAATAACTCATCATATGAGGACAATTCAGGGGCCTTGGACTATGCAAGGCAGATTCTGAATTCATTTCTTTGTTCTCTTTTCCTCTTTAAGAATTAAAAAGGAGTTTTCTTTTTACCACAAAACCAAGACAACTTGGTAAAATAGATCAAAAAGAGGTCAGCAATGCTTTTTTTTCTTCTTAATCTGCATACACTAGGAGATCTGAGTGCATATTAAGCATGAGCCTTGGGCCATTGAAATAGTAAAGTGGTTCGGTATAATTTACAGTTCATCAGTGATATCTCTACCAAATAGACTGGTTTTAAGATAACATTTAGAGGGTGGCAAATTCAACAATGAGAGTTGACAAGGTTGACAAAATTGCAGGAGTTCCCTAAACAACTAAACCATCTGGTATCACAATTATTTTTCTTCACATCTTCATTTCAGACTTCATTTCATCTCAATACTTAGTTCTAAGAGTCTTAGGTTGACTGAAAAAGTGAATCACTAGACATAAATGGTAAGACTTGGGATGTGATTGAATTTTCCAAGTAAATGAGCCTNCCAAGCTCCAACAGCACTGAAAAAGTGAATCACTAGACATAAATGGTAAGACTTGGGATGTGATTGAATTTCCCAAGTAAATGAGCCTATCTTACCACAAGCATTAGTTCTAAGAATATATCATCCGANCTAAGAGTCTTAGGTTGACTGAAAAAGTGAATCACTAGACATAAATGGTAAGACTTGGGATGTGATTGAATTTTCCAAGTAAATGAGCCTATCTTACCACAAGCATTAGTTCTAAGAATATATCATCCGATTGCATGTCATTAATTATCAAGTTCAATGTTTAAAACTGAGAGTCTCAAAAATGTTGCCTATGTTTCATACTTCAGTCATGATAACACTCATTTTCTTAAGTCACTGACCTCTAAACTTGTTAGTTGGAGTTTTCAATCTTTCACCTAAATGGAGGAATCATTCAAGTTTGAACATAGGAGAATCACCAGCTTATATAGTGTGTCAATTGCAGTTTAAACACTAAGATAACAGAGGATCAGCCCAAGAATAACGTGCAGCTTGAGAAGGACCAATGTCCGCTGAATGTTAAGTTCATCTATATACCATATAAGTGGGTAATGTGGAGAAAGACTATGTTAGCAAGGAGTAAGAATTGAGACACATGTTTGAACAATTTCACCTCATATTTTCATAGAAGAATAATAATTAGATAGAACTCAATTGTTCAAGAAGTGGACAGACCAAGAGAGGAGTCCAGAAAGCCAATGAGATGGGCAGAGTAGTTCCTCACACTTCTTGTCACCTTTTAGAGTCTTTCCATGCATGATTTGGCCTTATGCTCCCACCTTAATTGAACTTGATTCATCCAGAAATTGATAATCTTTGAGGAGTCTTCCTATAACACATTTCATACAGGGAAATTTCTTCCGTGAAATAGAAGCACTTTAAAGCATTTCAGAATAACATAATGAAAAAAACTAGAAGGATTCAGGATTGCAAGTGATTGTACAAAAAATCCAACCTCATATACCATGCATTTGTCAATCAAAATCGGGTCTGTATAACAATTCATTTGAACCAAAATCACATGGGGAACTCCATAAATCATCTCAAATTTTAGAATCAAAAGAATTCAAGATAAGCCGAAATAAAACTGAATATATGGAATATGATAGTGAACATATTCAGATTGGAGACAATGCCAATCATACAATTAAGGCATGATGGACTAAGTGAAGGACTGCATCTGGCATACTATGTGATCAACCTATACCTATTACTCCTAAGTTGAAAGTCAAGCCTTATAAGAAAACCATTAGATCAATGATGATTTATAATATAGAGTGTTGGGCAATTAAGAAACAACACGCTAAAAAACTGTTTGTGTTAGGAACAACATAGTAAAAATTCAATATGACAGAATTAAAATGGGTAAATTCGGAAAACAATAGCAGTGGTACCAATTGGAGATAATTTAAGAGATAATTGACTTAGGTGGTTTGGACATATACATAGAATATTTATAACTACACCAAGAAGGAAGAGTGAAGTGATACCTATCAATGGCAATGCGAGGTGTAGAAGTCAACCAAAACTAACTTTGAATGAGATAGAAAAAAAAGGTTATGATACCTTGAGATTTAACAGAAAATATGACCCTTTGTAAAGAGAATGGGATTTAACGGTCCCACATAGTTGGGACAAGGCTTGATTGAGTTGAGTTGTCATCTCAAATCTATAAAGCCCAATATTGTAGAAAGCTAACAAGAAGTTCCAGTTTAGACACATTGGAATATTTGAACAAAAAAACAACATGCAGCATATGCAAAATTCAGGAAGCACAATTGGCAAATGTAATACTTATGAATTAAATACTAAAAGGAAAGGCTACAACATACGAGGATAGTGAAAAAAATACAGCAGTAGTAAAGAGAACATGAGGCAGTATCATGGATCATCAGTAGGCAATAAAAGAAATCCTGATCTGTTAAAACATATTTAATGGATATGAAGATGCCCCTGTCAATTTTAGATTTACATTTGCAGACTGAAAAAAATGGCTCATTGGAATGAAGAAACATGGAAACAGATGATTAAGTTGTGCAGCATGCACCTAGCATAAAAATGGCAACACAAACACACACATCAGTCAGTTATAATCAGCTTTCGTTTCTCACCATTAACCTTTTCAATGCCATAATGCACATTCTCAAGCTTCACAAAATCATTTTTCAGACTCATCCTTTACAGCTCCCCAGTCTTCCTGTCACCTAAACATCAGCCATTCGAGATGCTCCTTCCCTAACTCTAGCATTCGGTCCTAAATTTGTAACTTTCTGCCCTTCCAACTGAAGGGAGCGAAACGTCATCCACGGATTCTGCAACTGGTCTTCCCCCACACAATGCAAAACGTGATTCCCATCCATAAGCTCATGGGTGGATGGAGATGTGAACATGCGTTAAAGTCCTTAATAGTCATAGCATTAACAGAACCCACAACTCCAGAGTATTCCCCTACCCCTGAAACACTGAAGCCTGGTCCTCCTCAGTGTAGTCACTTCGACCATCACTTCTGCATCTTCACCTTCTTCATCTAAGTATTTGACTTTGTAAGGCCTGATCTCATTGGAGTCCTGGTCATCTTCACTTTTACGACCTAATCGTAATGATCGCTGAAGACAGATCCATCAATGCCCAGAATGCTGGGTTCTCAACAACCTTGCAAGAAGTGCCTTGTCCTAGGTATCATTCAGCTTCCTATACCTTTTGCTGAGGTCATTAAAATTAACCTCCCTTTGCTGAGGTGATATACATGATAGCCTCTCTCCCATGACTTCTAAAGTTTGGTAAAAATCAAATGCAATCGCCATTTTATCCTTCCATTTTGTGCACTGCCATGGAAACTCCTTTTTTATCTTTTGCACCTTCAGTTTACCCATCACCACCTTCTTCCACAACTTTTGACCTGTCACCATCGCCGGCAGAGTTCTTCATTTTCTCAGCCTTGTCATTCCAACCAATAAAAGAAAGGGGTTAGTGTGATTATTGCAATCTCCTAATCCTAAAAGCGAAAACATAAAACTATAGTCTGGAAGTGGGTTTATTGGTGATTAACTTGCATTGATCCTTGTAAGCCTAAGAACCCACAGGGTCCAGCATCAGATTAATACTAGCTAAAGATCATCCTTTGCATTGATCCTTGTAAACCTAAAAAAACACATGGTCTGCCCAGCATCAGATTAATACTAGCTGTGGATTTTCCCCCTTATTAGTTACACAAGCAACCTCCAAAACAAAACCAAGTAAAATTCTCCTTCCAAAGTTCAATATGATTAGCTATATAGTTTCTTGCAACTCTATGAAGCACTTACCCATTTGAATGTGCTTCAAATATTCAAAAGAAACTAACCACCAAACCCATAGCAACAAATTGATATGCATAAAGAGTGGATATATATGGAGAATTATAATTGAAGATCATTATAAGATTCTGAGCCCGAAGATCAAAACATAAAATCTGGGATATCAATTCAATTACACTTTACCAAATGCAGACACAAGCAATCAAGAAAACCCATTAGAATCCCAAAATTTTACCACAATATGAATCAGACCCACAAACCCATTTGCATGTTTCGAATCCAAACTGAATCGTTAATATTCACATGCGAAGTCAGAAGCAAAGTGGAAAGGTTGGTGAAGAGGTGATCCGTGCAGAGAGCCCTAGGCACGACCGGGCTATCAGCGACTGGATCCATAAATGACCCGATCGAAACGGTTGATGGGTGGGCCAAAAATCAAATGGGTTTTAATGGGAATTAAATAACAGTAAATATTGAATGTAACAATGATACTAATAGTAAATGCTATTATTGTATTATCAATTAATACTAAAACATCAAGCTAGTGAAGTGAACTTTCCTTGGATAATTATTTATAAGGTTAAGTATTAATTTTAATGGGACCTATTTATTTATTTTGATATTATTAATTAATAATATCACGTTAACATTGTTACGTGTTATCATTGTTGGAATGAATATTTTCTCCTAAAATTGGCTCTAGCTTAACCATCTTTTTTTTCTTATGAGATAAATGAAACGTGTTCAAGTTTTACTTGAAAAACAATGTTATAAAGATCTAATTTGAAGACTTAATTCAATGTAGTTATTGAATTAATTGTGAGTTTTAATATTAGACGAAATTCGCTTTCAATCCAATAGTTGTATTTAATTTAGGCTTATCAACGGATTAAATTTGAACCAGATTTTAGGTCAATTAAAATTGGATTCAATTAAAAAATTTGTTGTCAAATTTGATCTATTTACTCGGCACATAAAAAAATATTAATTTATATCTAAATTCGTTTATAATCAAACATTCCGTTCAATTATCCAATTCGATCCATAATGATATTTCACCANCGATTAAAAAATTTGTTGTCGAATTTGATCTATTTACTCGGCACATAAAAAAATATTAATTTATATCTAAATTCGCTTATAATCAAACATTCCGTTCAATTATCCAATTCGATCCATAATGATATTTCACCAAAAATTCAACAAATAATCTTTGTGGATATCTATGGAGATAGATATGCATAAATAATCGGATATCCGGTCCATTTACCCAACGAATATAAAAAATATTAGTCTATATCATATGCTTATAATTGGACATCCAGTCCAATTCATGATGGTATTTTACCAAATTTTCAACAAATATTCTTTTGTTTTAAATCAAATATAAATAATCATTATACATATATGTATATATTCTATATAAATATATATGTAATAAAGGTCAATATCTATATAATAAAATTTAAATTTCAAAAGATAAACAAAATGATTTCTGTTTTTTGCGGTTAAAATTTATTTAAATTTTACTTTAANCATATAATTGGACATCCAGTCCAATTCATAATGGTATTTTACCAAATTTTCAACAAATATTCTTTTGTTTTAAATCAAATATAAAAAATCATTATACATATATGTATATATTCTATATAAATATATATGTAATAAAGGTCAATATCTATATAATAAAATTTAAATCTAAAAAAATAAACAAAATGATTTCTGTTTTTTGCGGTTAAAATTTATTTAAATTTTACTTTAAAGTTAATTCGACGATTAATATTAATACCTCAAATTTAATAAGGAAAATAGGTCTTTAAGGATATGTTTAAGGTGACTTTTTAAAAGTATTTTTTTAAGATTTATAACTTATCATAAATACTGTTAAAAAAAAAAAGTTGTGTTTGGAACCTCCCAACCAACATCACCACTACCACTACTACTACCACCACCACCGTCGCCACCCCACCACCACCTCTACCAAAATAACCACCACTGTTGTTGCTGCCACCAATGTTGCCACCCATCATCACTACCACCACCCTCATTACCCCCCATCATCATTGTCACCACCACCCTTACCGCCCCACCATTATTCCCACCACCGCTACCATCGCTGTCACAACAACCACCATCACTATTGTCCCCTACCATCACTATTGTCGTCACCTCCATTGTCGCCATCCCACCATCACCATCACGCCTATCGCACCACCATCATCCCCACCACCACCACTTTATCACTATCGTCATTGTCCTACCATCACCCCTATCACCATTATCCCCTACTGCCCCACCACCACTCCCACGACCATCACCACTACTAGCACCACCGCCGCCGTTGCCACTATTGCCCACCACCACTACCACTGTTCACTCTCATTACAAAATGATGTTTAAATTCTTTTCTCACTCTATTATATTTGTGATTTAATTTTAGATATGAATACAAATTTATTTATTGTTGTCCATTNGACCATCACCACTACTAGCACCACCACCGCCGTTGCCACTATTGCCCACCGCCACTACCACTGTTCACTCTCATTACAAAATTATGTTTAAATTCTTTTCTCACTCTATTATATTTGTGATTTAATTTTAGATATGAATACAAATATATTTATTGTTGTCCATTTTTTTTATTACTCTATATCTTCAGACATATACAATAATTAGTATATATATATTATATATATTAACCTGATCGAATTTATGTATATCCATATTCATATCGATATAAGATATCTAAGTGGATAAANTATATTTATTGTTGTCCATTTTTTTTATTACTTTATATCTTCAGAAACATACAATAATTAGTATATATATATTATATATATTAACCTGATCGAATTTATGTATATCCATATTCATATCGATATAAGATATCTAAGTGGATAAAAAAATTGATTCGTATATGGATAAAAAAATTCAAGTTTGGTTCGAATTTGGACTAAAATTCGGTCAATTGACAAGCGTAATTAAGTTAGGTCTTCAAATTAAGTCGAAGAAACATTTTNCATATATGGATAAAAAAATTCAAGTTTGGTTCGAATTTGGACTAAAATTCAGTCAATTGACAAGCGTAATTAAGTTAGGTCTTCAAATTAAGTCGAAGAAACATTTTTCTTTATTGGAAAGTGTATTTAGTTTTAAAGCCAAACTTAAGCAACCGATTACTTAAATTTTCTCTATTAACTTTTGAGTCGTTCAATTTTATGGTTGGGGTCACGATATAGATAAAATCTAGGGAACTATGTTCTCGAGTTTTTTATTTTACCAAATTCCATTCTCCTATAGAAATCTCATTGCTGTGAATGGATGCTTTCAATCATACGCAGTTCAGACTAGTTTTCACTCTTCTTGTTCAACCGGTACAAAAATCATTTTATATAATCTGATGTATATAATGATTACGCACATCCTAAATTGTATATAGTTACTTGAATCTTAAAAACTTCTTGTTGAAATGATTCTCGATGTCCCCCGGACCCGGTCATAAAAGGCACAAACCCTAACACTACAGAGGGATACTCCCCGAAAATGTCACTGAAATGATTCTCGATGTCCCAAGGTCATAAAAGACACAGACCCTGACACCCTAGCGCGATACTCCTTGAAAATGTCCTGCCCATATGTTCATTTGTCGTTGGGACTAAAAATCTTTCTTGCTCGTGTCTAGGAAGTCAAGGAATGAGAAAGATTTAGAAAGACTATTAGAAGGGGCCGTAGCTGTGGCTGTGACTTCGTATTCTGTAGACTACGTACAAGCACTAAAAGAGTAGTTTAATGGCAAAGTTTGTTCACTACCAAGTCTAGGGTATCCATGCGTGCAGCGTGCTAGGCTGAGACCCATGTGTCATGAAGGGTTTAGTTCTGATACTACATGTCATAGACAGACACTGTCACCCGACCCAAAAGACAAGATAAGCCCATGACTTTCACGACACAAACTCAATATGAGACGATATGAGACTCGAGACACTCGTGATAAGCAGCATCAAATTCATGAGTTTGGTTAGCCAACTCCCACAACCTTCGAGCTTGGCATCAGTCACAAGCTCTCTCTCTCTCTCTCCCCCTCACCCCCACCCCCCAAACAAAACAAGCTGTAGACTTCTATACAGAGAAACCAATCATTAGAGAAACACAATGAGGCAAAGAAAGGCCAGACGTATAGATAAAGCATACAGTGGTCCTACAAGACATGTTAACCCATGCCATATGGCCAGGAAAAATGCTACCAAGCTCCTAACAGTACCAATGGTACCTGCAATAATCCTCAGCCTTCTATTTAGACAATACCAAACGTTAACATACAATCCACACAATTGCCCACTTTGAAGGACAGAAAGCCAAATAGATCACGCCATTAAGGACATGCAACAAGGTTTGAATAAGATGACAGACAAAACATTTCCACATTGAAATCAAATTTCCTTCAGATAGTTCACTGCAAACTGACATTGAAATTTAAAACTCATACAATGCAAGTTTAAACCGAAAACAACCAGAAAATACATATTGAAATGGAAGAGAAAAGAGGATAAAACTAACCTTTCTCACCTAACCCCAAGGACCTAAAATATTCAAGGCCGAAACATGGTAAAACAACCGACAAACAAACAGGACTTCTACCTAAAATACATTTCAAGCGATCCAGTAACAACGATGGCTTGGTTCCTAAAACCTATCCCAAAACAAATTAAACTCAAAAACTATAACCTCAACCTTTCAATTCAAGCAAATATCCTTCTCTAGCAATACTCCAAGACTCAAAATGCCCACCAATCTAAACTTGCACGTGACACATAACCTGGCGAAGAAGACGACGATGTACTACCAATCTCAACTTTGTCAAGCTTAGAAGCATTTACGATGAACAATAGCTGGACCAGATTCATCATACTCACCCTTAGATATCCACATCTGCAGAAATTCAAAAACAAAAGCATGATAGCTTTAAACAATTAAGAACCTAAGTATAATTTCAACATACATACACAGAGCAAGNTCTCTAGCAATACTCCAAGACTCAAAATGCCCACCAATCTAAACTTGAACGTGACACATAACCTGGCGAAGAAGACGAGGATGTTCTACCAATCTCAACTTCGTCAAGCTTAGAAGCATTTACGATGAACAATAGCTGGACCAGATTCATCATACTCACCCTTAGATATCCACATCTGCAGCAATTCAAAAGCATAAGCATGGTAGCTTTAAACAATTAAGAACCTAAGTATAATTTCAACATACATACACAGAGCAAGTATTTACCTGCTGGAAAGTGCTTAGAGAAGCTAAAATTGATCCTCCGATCCAGACACTGTATTTTCTTTCTGGAGGTGCCACCACCTTGATCTTCATGCTGCTGGGAGCAAGGGCAGTGATTTCCTTGCTCATACGATCAGCGATTCCAGGGAACATGGTTGAACCACCACTAAGCACAATATTCCCATACAGATCTTTCCTGATATCAACATCGCACTTCATGATGGAGTTGTATGTGGTTTCATGAATTCCAGCAGCTTCCATTCCAACGAGTGATGGCTGGAATAGGACTTCTGGGCAGCGGAACCTCTCTGCTCCAATTGTGATCACTTGCCCATCTGGCAACTCATAGCTTTTCTCCACAGCAGAACTGCTCTTGGCAGTCTCCAATTCCTGCTCATAATCAAGGGCAACATAAGCAAGTTTCTCCTTCATGTCACGGACAATTTCCCGCTCGGCAGTTGTAGTGAAGGAGTAGCCTCTCTCAGTGAGGATCTTCATCAAGGAATCTGTCAGATCCCGACCGGCAAGGTCCAATCGAAGGATGGCATGGGGAAGGGAATAACCTTCATAAATTGGCACTGTGTGGGTGACACCATCACCAGAATCCAAGACAATGCCTATACAAACAGCCAAACATAAATTTAATCGGCTGAAGACACAAATATTTCGCATTCCCACAGAGGGGGGAGATGATCATTCCAAACTGTAGGCCATATATGTAGATGTATCAAAGTTATAACCATCTATCACACAAAACAGTAATGAAATCATCATTGGGATATTGTAGGTACAATTCACTGTGTTTCTATTTGGTGATTTTTTCGAAGGCTAACAAAAGGATAACAAACAATAACAAAATCAAAAATAGCAATCAGAAATCTTTTCACTCTCAATCTCTTGAAAATTTTCAAGCATTGAACATGGTAGAGGACAACATATATATTCTCCAAAAGCCAACTGTCCAATAGGGTTATTACCACAAAAAACCAACTGTGCTATAGAATTATTAGTACAAACCTGTTGTCCGACCACTGGCATAAAGAGACAGAACTGCTTGGATAGCAACATACATGGCAGGAACATCGAATGTCTCAAACATAATTTGGGTCATCTTCTCCCTGTTAGCCTTGGGGTTCAATGGTGCTTCTGTTAGCAGTACAGGGTGCTCTTCAGGGGAAACTCGGAGCTCATTGTAGAAAGTGTGATGCCAGATCTTCTCCATGTCATCCCAATTGCTGACTATGCCATGTTCGATTGGGTACTTCAATGTGAGGATACCTCTCTTTGACTGTGCTTCATCACCAACATAAGCATCCTTCTGACCCATTCCAACCATCACACCAGTGTGTCGAGGTCGGCCAACAATACTGGGGAACACGGCCCTTGGAGCATCGTCACCAGCAAATCCAGCCTGCCGATTTCAGGAAAAAGTATGCCTCAACTTTAGAACATTCAAAGCAAAATCAGCCAATACAAATCACAAAGGGTCAGGTCAATCCTTCTAAACATGTATTAGTTTATTTTGTTCCCAACAATCAAAGGGAAACAAAACTCCCTATTATTGAATATCCAAAAGGAAAAAAAAAATGTGAAAACCTTAAATGCATATTCATACAGCACATTGAGAGGGACATTGAAATCAGGTTCTTCTAAAAGCAGGAAAGCTAACCTTGACCATTCCAGTTCCATTGTCACACACAAGGGGTTGGATATCCTCAGCATCAGCCATCTTTTATAACCTTCAGAGGGAAGACTGTGTTAGGTACCGTAGAATCAGTAATCAGCAAGGTAAGACAAATCAATAGAATATATTTATCAGTCCACCCACAATTACGTAGAACTTATAATATTGGAAACTAAATAGGCCTACAAACTTGAAATGATCCAACAGCTTATGGTAGTTGAATTGATATGGCGCCAAACATTAAGCACAAAGACAGATCAATAAGGAAAAAACAATATCATAGTTGTGGATCGTAGGAGACTATATTCCAGATGTGTACTTGCCACGTCGTTTGGAATTAATGCATCACCTAATCAAAATGCAGAAAATAGAACACCAATAACACTAGCGTCTGACCCCCGAGAAATCATAGAACAGGAAAAGAAATCTCAGAATTAAGCCAAGCAATCCTAAACACAACCCGAACCCGACATTAAATCGATGCGGAATTAGTTCTTTGCTTTAATCTTTAACGGTTCGAGCGCAAAAAAAGTGGACCCATTAGACCTATCAAACAACAGTAATTTTATTTTTTTCCAAATTTTTCATTGATGTGGTACAATCTCTATCATTTTACCATGGAATATTAATGAGACTCAATTATTTTATTGTAAAAACTATGCCACATCACTTAATAAGAAATCTTAGTCAACATAATGGTGTTGATCAAATAAATCAAATAAATGTATTGACACAACCAACGTGTTAAACACGACACGAATCTTCTTAACTTACACACATCACGAACTCTACATACACCCAACTACACGATTATATATATATGATTGAATATGGGTTTAGTAATTTTTTGGCTCGATACGAATCTGACATGACACGACTAACTGACAACCACACTCAGAATCCTCTAAAAAGCCTTCCAACATGTTACAAAGTTCCAAGCTTTCATATTATTTTTTTCCCCACAAACTGTTAGAAAATAAACTGAAAACTCGAAATCTCATAACAAAATTCAGCCTCTTTAGCTATTAGTAGATTTCAACCTTGTATTTTCTTTCTTCCCTCAAATTACTCAGCAATAAATACATGAATCAAAAGAAAAAAATAGAAAAGAAACAGATCCAGACATACATATCTCTACAAAATTCATATTCAAATTCCTAGAAAGTTAAAAACTATAGAAACATCAAAATGAAAAGGTAATAAATTTTTCAAGGTGAATCTAAGAGATTGCATTGTAATTACCTGTTTGGGTACAGAAACTTTGAAAGATTGATTCTAAATAGAGCAGAGGAATGTCTGTCTCTATGTGGAAATGCCAAAAATAAAAAGATTCTTAGGCTTGTAGTTCTATATATATAACTGGTGTGGGGCCGTGGGAAAACTAAATCAAACCGAAATGCAAATGAAATGAGCTCCAAATTCAGTCGCATCTATCAGTCATCTGTTGTTTTTAAAGAAAAAGGCTAGCAAATATAAAAAAGGGAATCCCAGAATTTCCTCAAATTAANCAAAACTCCCTATTATTGAATATCCAAAAGGAAAAAAAAAATGTGAAAACCTTAAATGCATATTCATACAGCACATTGAGAGGGACATTGAAATCAGGTTCTTCTAAAAACAGGAAAGCTAACCTTGACCATTCCAGTTCCATTGTCACACACAAGGGGTTGGATATCCTCAGCATCAGCCATCTTTTATAACCTTCAGAGGGAAGACTGTGTTAGGTACCATAGAATCAGTAATCAGCAAGGTAAGACAAATCAATAGAATATATTTATCAGTCCACCCACAATTACGTAGAACTTATAATATTGGAAACTAAATAGGCCTACAAACTTGAAATGATCCAACAGCTTATGGTAGTTGAATTGATATGGCGCCAAACATTAAGCACAAAGACAGATCAATAAGGAAAAAACAATATCATAGTTGTGGATCGTAGGGGACTATATTCCAGATGTGTACTTGCCCCGTCGTTTGGAATTAATGCATCACCTAATCAAAATGCAGAAAATAGAACACCAATAACACTATTAAACACCAATAACGTCTGACCCCCGAGAAATCATAGAACAGGAAAAGAAATCTCAGAATTAAGCCAAGCAATCCTAAACACAACCCGAACCCGACATTAAATCGATGCGGAATTAGTTCTTTGCTTTAATCTTTAACGGTTCGAGCGCAAAAAAAGTGGACCCATTAGACCTATCAAACAACAGTAATTTTATTTTTTTCCAAATTTTTCATTGATGTGGCACAATCTCTATCATTTTACCATGGAATATTAATGAGACTCAATTATTTTATTGTAAAAACTATGCCACATCACTTAATAAGAAATCTTAGTCAACATAATGGTGTTGATCAAATAAATCAAATAAATGTATTGACACAACCAACGTGTTAAACACGACACGAATCTTCTTAACTTACACACATCACGAACTCTACATACACCCAACTACACGATTATATATGATTGAATATGGGTTTAGTAATTTTTTGCCTCGATACGAATCCGACATGACACGACTAACTGACAACTACACTCAGAATCCTCTAAAAAGCCTTCCAACATGTTACAAAGTTCCAAGCTTTCATATTATTTTTTTCCCCACAAACTGTTAGAAAATAAACTGAAAACTCGAAATCTCATAACAAAATTCAGCCTCTTTAGCTATTAGTAGATTTCAACCTTCTATTCTCTTTCTTCCCTCAAATTACTCAGCAATAAATACATCAATCAAAAGAAAAAAATAGAAAAGAAACAGATCCAGACATACATATCTCTACAAAATTCATATTCAAATTCCTAGAAAGTTAAAAACTATAGAAACATCAAAATGAAAAGGTAATAAATTTTTCAAGGTGAAGCTAAGAGATTGCATTGTAATTACCTGTTTGGGTACAGAAACTTTGAAAGATTGATTCTAAATAGAGCAGAGGAATGTCTGTCTCTATGTGGAAATGCCAAAAATAAAAAGATTCTTAGGCTTGTAGTTCTATATATATAACTGGTGTGGGGCCGTGGGAAAACTAAATCAAACCGAAATGCAAATGAAATGAGCTCCAAATTCAGTCGCATCTATCAGTCATCTGTTGTTTTTAAAGAAAAAGGCTAGCAAATATAAAAAAGGGAATCCCAGAATTTCCTCAAATTAAGAAAAAAAAAAAAGCATAACAAAAGGTTTAAATTTCATCCAAACAATTCAAATTTTATCTAATTTCATCGAATTTGATTTAATGGTGCATAATTCATTCTAAAAAATAAATCCTGTAAAAGCTTTAACAAATAAAATAAAATTTGCACGCCCTCAACCCATGTCAAATATTCACTCTTAAATTTGGTGGAGTAGTTCAATTGATAATAAAAGCGAGCTGTAAATTCAGACGTTGTAAGTTTAAATTTTGGCAACCCCTTAATACTAGACGTGGATGATCTGATTTTGATCGAATCGAAGAGAAAACTTATCAAGGTGCACATAAACTGACCCATATACCCTTGATTGTTAAATTAAAAAAAAATATCCACCCCTAATTATTTATGATATATAATATAAATTTAGTGAGCTCGTGATTTTTAATAATTATCAATATTCACCATGTTGCGAATAATTTTAACATTAAAAAGTGATATTTGCTTATTTTTTATAATATTTTATTGTTAATAAGTAATATCATGTGTTATTGATTATGTAGTATTATTGTTATACTGACTATTTACTCATTTATCAAAAATATTTTTAAAATTGTAAATTTTATTTTAACTTATTTAAAATTATTTATTATAAAAATAAAAAATATATATAATATTTCGACATTATAGGTTTTTTTTTTTTTTGGTCAATTTCGACATCATAGTTGGAGTAGTCAGTTTTAATGGTTGAGTAAACAAAGGGAAAACATGGGAAAGTTTGGTGGAATCCATACAATAAAGTGTTGTGTTGGCCGTCCAGCTTGGAATTTGGTGTTTTGTTGAATTTGATTTGATTTTCCACGTCACTGGACGGCCGTAGTGGGCGGGCGGTGGGTCACGCTCAGCGCCGACTACGGCTCGGAAAAGTCTGCTAAAGTTAGGAGTTGGGGGGTGGCTGTGGCCCACTTCTTTTCTTCTGAATTCATACTTTATTATTTTAATAAATATTTTTATAATTTTATGGGTTATGTCATAATCAAAAAATTTATATTTTATGGATAATTTATTATATTTTGTGGGTATTTTTATTATAAACGTGATAAAAATATCTATAAATTTATATTTATACTACTTATAAATGTAAATATCTGTGAAAAACTTTTAATTTTTTATTTTATCTCTAATTATTACACTAAAGACAATTATACCTACAAAATAATTGTTATATAAACTTTATTTCTATGACTTCTAAATTTTTTGTTGGATAAACTTTATCACTAATATTCTAAAATTTTTGCTAGAAAAATTTTATCACTATATATTAGCTAGATAAAATTTATCTCTATGACTTCTAAAATTTTTACTAGATAAATTTTTGATTTCTTATTTCTCCCATAATTATTTCACTAAACATAATTATGTCAACAAAATATTAGCTAAATAAACTTTATCTCTATGACTTTCAAATTTTTTGCTAAATAAATTTTATCACTATATGTTAGCTAGATAAAATTTATACTTCTAAAATTTTTACTAAATAAACTTTATCAGTTTAACTTGTCAGTACATTCTTCTTTTCTATTCAATTCTACAAATTCAACTAGAATTCTAACGTGATGTGAAAAAAAATTGTTATTTTTTAGGTGATATCAAAAATTCATTATTCACTGTTATATAATAAAAATATTAGAAGAGTAAAAAGTTAAACCCATATATTTTTTTTTCTTTCATGCCTATTAGACTTCCAAAATATTTTGAACAAATTTTATTAAAAATATATATGAATAGATATAGGAAAATATACATATATCTCTCCAGTAACTCCATTTAACATATTTGGTCTTATATCTCTACAATAAATTTTTTCTTCAAAATCTTTTAAAATTAGTGGTCTTGCATCTCCATCCTC